CTGGAAGCCAGGAGCGGCCCCGAAGATGGAGGGGGATGGGTGATGGGCGGGTGGTCCCAGCCGGGGACCCAATCTCACCTGAAGCTGGGCTCGCTGGGTTGGGGTCTTGGAGGAGCTGATCTCTTTCCTGTGTGGGCGGCTCTTCTGGAAGCCAGGAGCGGCCCCGAAGATCTACACTTATTTTCTAAAGGGTTTACCTAAATAGTGGATTATGGTCCTTCATTATCTGTCCTTTTTTTCTTATGGTTCTTATTTTGTTTTAGGACAGGGTATCACATATCCCAAGCTGACTTAGAATTTGCTGAGGTTGGCTTTGGACTCCTAATTCTTCTGCCTCTAGTTTCCAAATGCTGGATCTACAAGTGTTCACCTCTACACCTGTGTCTTCTTATATTTCTTTAATACAGAGGCCTGTATAACCTAGACTGGCCTCAATTGCATGATCCTCCTGACTCACCTACCTTTTGGGGGGGTAGTAATTTATATTTTAATGTTTATAACCACAAAATATCAATGTTATAATGCTTACTATTCTATCTCAGAGTTTCATCTCAGAGTTTGCTGTGATGCAAACCCCTGAACTTAGCAGGAAAATGAGGTGTCTAGCAAACTGGGTAACTCAGTTGTACAGCACACAAACATTAGGTATAATCACTAGCATTCAGCTTGAGTCTTGAATTCTGAACTCTGAAACTGTAGGAGTAAGACATTTATACAAATCTTCATAGTAAACTCCAAGCCCCAAACTCTTTTCTGTGTCTCATATATTCTTTTTTTTAAAGATTTTATTTATTTATTATGAATACAACATCCTGCCTCTATGTATGCCTGCAAGCCAGGAGAGGGCACCAGATCTCATTACGGATGGTTGTGAGCCACCATGAGGTTGCTGGGAATTGAACTCAGGACCTCTGGAAGAGCAGTCAGTGCTCTTAACCTCTGAGCCATCTCTTCAGCCCCTGTCTCATATATTCTTAATGCTTGCTTCAGGGACATTCATCATCTCCTGAACAAATGATCTCTTAGTTTCAAGGAAAATCCCACTCTGTGTAACAAAACTTCCACAAGTGCTTGTCTGATAGCAAATATGATTTGTCTGAGAGGGTCTAAAACCAAGTACCCTGGGGAGTTTCCAGGACCAAAAGTGGGAAACAGCCAGGTACGGGTAGCTCACATCTATAATCCCAGCCTCCAGGCTGAGGTTGACAAATGGTTGTGATTCCAAGACTAGCCTGGTTACAAGTAAAACCATCTCACCTCACAAAAACAAACCAAACAAAAACCAACAAAATTGTATGTGTGTGTGTGTGTGTGTGTGTACATAATATATTACAGAAGGGAATGGAAAAAATAGTCTGTTTATATTTTCCCTGTATACAAATAGTTACCTTTATAAATAAAGGTAGCTTAAAAAATACCAATAATAATTGCACCTCAGTGTAATAAGTGTACACTGTAAAGTATAATGAATGCTTTTGAGGTAATGAGTTGAACTCAGAAGACATAAGATTTTATATGTGGAACATGTTTCTAAGTGCCCAGTCTGGTTTTGTCTGATAATGGCTATTATCTGTATTTTTTTAAGCTTTTTTTGAGACAGGGTTTCTCTGTGTAGCCCTGGCTGTCCTAGAATTCACTCTGTAGACTAGGGTGGCCTTAAACTCACAGATTCACCTGCCTCAGCTTCCCAAGTGCTGTGGGATTAAAGGTGTGTGCCACCACCAACCAGCTTTTCTATAGGTACACATCTATGTTTTTCTATAGGTACATATCTTGACTTTTTTTTTTTTTTTGGTTTTTCGAGACAGGGTTTCTCTGTGGCTTTGGAGGCTGTCCTGGAACTCGCTTGGTAGTCCAGGCTGGTCTTGAACTCACAGGGATCCGCCTGCCTCTGCCTCCCGAGTGCTGGGATTAAAGGCGTGCGCCACCAACGCCCGGCTTGACTATTATGTTTTTCTATAGGTACACATCTTGACTATTATGGGTTTAATGAATTTAACATTAAAATGTATTTTGGGGGCTGGAGAGATGGTTCAGTGTGTTTAGAGCAACTAAGTTTGGCTGAGCAGTTAGACACCCTCACACAGACAGACATAACATGCAGACAATATCAATGCACATAAAATTAATAAATCTTAAAAAATACAGTGGATCATTTTTTAAAAAAGAAAAATGTAATTTAATGTCAAGAGTGTGTTTAATTCTGGTAGGCAAATGTTTGAGTGTACATAAAATATTGTAGCTAGCCCAAGGAGTTTTAGGATAACAGACATTTCACACAATGTATTTTTTCTTTTTAAAATTGGTCTGGACAAAATCCAGTCCTCTTATGACACAGTGCTATTTAAGCTGATTTGTGTAACAAAATGTACACTTAAGAAAAAAATTACTAAAATCCCATATCCTTACGAAGATATGCTAAATATGTGAGGGTTGACCTGGCACAACATTAGGTTATAAGATGGCAAAAGAAAGATAATTATTAGTCATTTAAGGAAAAAGGCTACTTTTCCCATTAAACTCAGGATTTTTCTTGGAGAATTTCCACAAGTATGTCATTCAACATAGAAGTTGCTTGGGAGCTCGAGGCAGGAGAATTGAAATACAGTTGTCTACCTGAGCTACCATATCAATTGAAGTCTGGCCTGAAAGACTTAGCCAGACCCTGAGTCCCCAGTTGGTGGGGGTGGGGCACTTGAGAGTCCTCTCCTCTCTGAGGTCAGGCTGGCAGTTAATGGTTGCTGGGGAAAGAGTAACAATTAGCAAGCATTGCAGGATAAACTGAACCACAAATTCTTTCCCCCAGTCACCCTTCAGGCCGACTTGTTTTTCTTCTTTTATGGTCTTTTTCTCTCATGACCCTGGGGCCAAAATTCCATTAGAGTTTTTCAGCATGCCGTCAACCACTAGCACAAAGGTGCTGACCAGTTAGGGTCTCTTTAGTCCAGTCTGGGCTTGAACTCAAGGCAATCCTCCTGCCTCAGCCTCTCTAGTGCCGGGAATACAATTGTGAGCTTTTATCCCCAGTTTAAGATGGCAACTTTCCAGGAGAATATGCATGTTAGGGCTTTTCAGGACACAAAGAGTGTGGCCTTATTTGTTAGAAAGGTGATTTATTTGCATCATTCTTACTTATTTCCCATTCAAAGCTGCTTTTACTCTATCCACAACCTTATCAATTCTCTACCTATGAAAGCTTAGCTTGCTTAGCCTTGTTGTCTTCCATTTCTTATATGATAGACCAAATAAGTGTTTGGTGTATTCACTGTTTTTGCATAGGGTCTTCTACATAACTCAAACTGGCAAGCTTTCTGCCTCTTCTTCCAAAACACTAGGATTACAAACATGTAGAGCCCATCCCAGTCCCGGGCACTTTTGAAGCTTCATTCCCATATGCCACCCTGACATTCTATCTTTGCACTTTAAACAAAATCCTTTCACAGCTGAGAAACATACTTAATTTCTCTCCCATCTTGAGACCCAGAATAAATGCTGTGTTTATCTTGTTCTGACTAGTCCACATTTGTGCTTTTCCCCACAGTAATTCCTAGACCTTAGAAAAAACAATATTATTAGGGAAAATTGCTTTGAGGCTTTTGTCCTTCACTGACTTTTCAAGGGTAGGTTTCTGCGGTAGTACCCAGCATGTGGACTCTTTCCATACAAGCTTTTTACTGTTTTTGAAGTTACAATGTAGAAACAATACGTTGGCAACTGTAGTTTTGAGTTTGTATCTCCTGCTGAGAATACCCTAAGATTGTTTTTGAGACTGTGCAGCCCAGCCTGGCCTCAAAGTATCCTTTTCTACTCCAGTCTTGGCCTCCAGAGTGCTGGAATGACAGGTATTTGCCAGTGCACTGGCTAAAAATGCCCCCCACCCCCTTAAGTTTTTAAGGTCTAGAAATTACTGTGGGGGAAAAGCACAAATGTGGAATTGCCAGGACAAGATAAACAATGTTTCTGCTGGGTCTCAAAATGGGAGTTGGCAAGACGGGAGAGAAATTAAGTATATGCTGTGAAAGGGGTTTGTTTAATGTAAAGTGCAATGGACTACAAGATAGTCCCCAGAGAGACTTTACAAGGTTTATTGCTGGTAATTTAACCAAATTTCGAGCTGTTTTTCTTGCCAATAATCACATGTAAATCTTGGTCTCATAGCTGGGTGGTGGTGGCACTCGTCTTTAATCCCGGCACTCCGGAGGCAGAGGCAGGCAGATCTCTGTGAGTTTGAGGTCATCCTGGTGTACAGAGTGAGTTCCAGGACAGCCTCCAAAGCTACAGAGAAACCCTGTCTGGAAAAACAACAACAACAACGAAACACAACGAACCAACCAATCAAACGAAAAACCCCCAAGAACAAAAAACAAACTTGGTCTCATGGAACACACTAGTAAGGAAACAGACTTTTGTCAATAATTGCCTCTAAACTGAGAGCTGGTAAATGAAGGAAGTAGGTCTCAGCTTTATTTGTTTCTCGAATTACTGAGTTACTGACTGATGGTGTGTGGGGTCAGGCAGACCCTGAAATTGTGCTGGGTGGGGCTGTTATTTGGCCTTAGGATGCACCCCTCCTCTCGCCATCCATCTTAGAAAATGCGTGGTGGAAAAGGTAACAGGGCTTACAGCTGCTATTGAGACAATGAAAATGCGGGCCCTGTGGGATGTTGTGTCACCGACAAAAATGAGAAATGTGTTGCTCCACCGAGTCAAAAGAACTTTCCTCCCAGCTGAGCTTTCTCCACTCTCTAGCAGTAGGTATGCTTAGGTTGCCCTCTTATTTCGGGTTATTCCCATGGCCTTGCAACTAACTCCTTGGCCCATTTTCTCTTTCAAAGTTTTCCCTACCCTTACTTTTTTCTTCCCACCCTCTTCTATTCCCAGCTAGCTGACCCCGCCCCTTGCACGCACCACCTACGCGGCCTCACGGGAGACTTCCCGCTTCTTCTCCCGTCCCCCCTACCCCATCTGCCCGCCCTCCTCAGGTTCAGAAACCTCCAATCAAGAGCGCCGAAGGTGTCACCAAGGCCCGCCCTGTCCTCCCTATCCACCTCTTTTACCCCCCATGTTCCCTCCCCCAACCCCCCCACCTCAAGTCCGGCGGACCCGGGGGCTTCAGGAGCTGGGAGCTATGAAAAGTGTCTGCCCAGGCACTTCCGGTAAGGACGCTGTGGCTGGAGGGTCCCCGAGGGGTCGTTAAGAAAGGGGGTGACCGGCGGCGAGGGAGCCCCGGAGAGGAGGGTGCCGGCAGGGAAGGGGTGCGGGTGCAGGAGCTCGAGCGAGCTGCCCGGTGCAAGCGACCCGGCGCCTGAGTCGCCCGGCGGCGAGCCGGCGCCCCCGCCTCCCGGGCGGCTCGGGTCCTCCTCTCCACCCCCCACTCCGCGAGGGTGACGCCGCCTCTCCACGGGCGCCGCGTGACCGGAAGTGGCGCCATCTTTAGCCTCTTGTGCTATTGACAATAACAAGCCTTGGCTCGCTCCCCCTCCCCCCTCCAGCCCTGCGTCTCCCCTCCCCGAGAGAGGGAGAAAAGGAGGAGGAGCTGCAAGCTTCACTGGCTCCCTGAGTCTCTCCAGCAGAAAGTGGGGGAGAGAGGCCGAAAAGCAGGGGAGGGGGGACGGCACGGGCCGTTTACCTGTCTGCCTCCTTTGCTTCCCCCCTGCTTCGTTCTCCTTACTGCCGGTGTCAGCCTATCTGCCTTCCCAAGCCCTCCCATTCCCCCCGGTGTGCCCCCCCCCCACTTTCCTTCCCGTCCTCTGTGTTTCTCCTCTCTTTCTTCCCTTCCCCCTCCAGCACTGCCACCTCTCCTCCACGCACGCAGGCACATAAACGTAGGTTTTTGATGCTCCTCTGCCTGCTGACCCCGCTATTTTCATGTTTCCAACAGGTTTTTCTTCCCCCAATCCCTCTGCTGCTTCTGCTGCTGCTCAGGAGGTCAGATCTGCCGCTGATGGTAATCCCAGCACCACTCCGCCCACCTCTGCCAAGAAGAGAAAGTTAAACAGCAGCAGCAGTAGCAGCAGTAACAGTAGTAACGAGAGAGAAGACTTTGATTCCGCCTCTTCCTCTTCCACCCCTCCACAACCTAGAGATTCGGCGTCCCCTTCAACCTCGTCCTTCTGCCTCGGGGTTCCAGTGGCCGCTTCCAGCCACGTACCGATACAGAAGAAGCTGCGTTTTGAAGACACCCTGGAGTTTGTAGGGTTTGATACGAAAATGGCTGAGGAATCCTCCTCCTCCTCATCTTCCTCATCTTCGCCAACCGCTGCAACCTCACAGCAGCAGCAGCAGCAGCAACTTAAAAATAAGAGTATATTAATTTCTTCTGTGGCTTCAGTGCACCATGCAAACGGCCTGGCCAAATCATCCACCACGGTCTCTAGCTTTGCTAACAGCAAGCCTGGCTCGGCTAAGAAGTTAGTGATCAAGAACTTTAAAGGTAACCAAGGCCAAAATCCATAATCACCTAGTAAGAATTTGACACTTGAGCGGTCACGTGCGCTATTTATGTTAATATATCAAACAGTATAGAGGTCGCCTTATGCTTTATGCATAATCAATGAGTGGAAGGGAGGTCCTATTTTTGGTGGAGGGTTGTTTTTCTGGGGTGTTTGTGTCCTTGCTCTTAAGTACACTCTTTAGTGTTTGCGTACAATGTTTTTTGAGGTCGGCCTCAACCCATTATATCTAATTTGTTGTTCCTTAAAACATCGGCATTATGATTGATCCGGATTTTACAGGTGAGAAACTTGTCTTCTAAAGAGGTACATTTCAGGTGCAGAGTGAGTCTTGGCACTACTGAGATTTTTATTTTTATAGGCCACATACTCCAGTCCCTAAAAATGCAGGTACCAAGGTTGATCGTTTTTTGTTTAAATGAGATTTATAGTTAGGTTCTTAGTGTAGAGTACTGTGCTTGTGAAACTCACTGTGGAAGCAGTATTGGGTGAAAAATCTTTTGGGTTTCTGCATTTCTTCCCAGTGGTAAAGTCTGAAAATTAAAACTACTCTGTGTACACAGAAGTAGTCTAGACTCTATCACTAATCTAGAGATAGAAACAGTGAACTATGTCTTTTCCTCACTAAAAGGAGCATTTCAAATATTGGCCTGCAGCTATTAGAAAATTTTGCGCATACTGTGCTTGAAATTAACTGATTGGAAGTGTGATGTATGTGCCAATGAAAACATAAGCAGCATTTAAAATGTATTTGAGCTAAGTTCTTATCTGTTGAATGTGTTTTTTTGATTATTTTTTTCACCGTCCTCAGTCAGCAGGTAATAGATGCTAAAATGTTTATTAAGATGGGGAAGTGAATGAATGGGGAGAATTGGTTGCTCTGTGCTTGTGTTTGAAACGTTGGTGTGGAAAAGGGCAATGTGCTACACGAAGGGGCTTACAGTATTGTCTATTTTTAACCCTTTTTTTGTTATATGACCCCCTTTCTGTCTTCAGGCTCTTGAGAGTTACCTTCTTTCAGGAAAGTGAATATGAACTGTATTTAAAAATTCATTCATTACTTCACTTAAACAGAACTGATTTAATAGGGAAGGATTTTTCAAGAAATGAGCTGTGATTCTAATTGCAGTTGCAAATTGATTTCAGAGACTTTATTTTTCTTTCTCCTGAAGGCATTAAGGCATTTGGACTCTTTAATTTGCTTCATATATTGCTGGTGAATGAAGTTTAAACTCTAGATTAAGATTTCTTTCCGTTCTGAAAATGCTGCATAGGTTCTGGAGTCGTTTGGGCGTTTGTTTTTAAATTTTCGTTCTGTTCCTTTAAAACCAAGAAATGTTCTCCGATTCTGTGATTGCTGCATACATTAGGGAGTCAAACAGACCTGGACTGGAATCCCAGCTTTGCCATTGCCTAGCTATAGTGACCTTGGGCAATTTTAGCAAATAAGTTCCAGGCTCAGTGTCTTCAGTTGTAAAATAGAGGTGTTACTATTTACTGTGGTTTTATTGTGGGGATGATTTCTAAGACGTTTCTAAAATCCTTTTCACATAGTTCATACTCAGTGTTTTAAATCTTCTCTACAAGATTGTTGTCAACTTTGGGTTTACGAATGCTAAAACAAGATCAGGACTGCTATTTTTATCTGTCATTCTTGAATTTTTATTTTTGAAGCAATACAATCAATAGGAGAAAAAACTGATTTTCATAGGTGAGTCAAAATGACTTAATAGTATTTTGGCATCTTAAATTTTGTTTATATTGAACTTTTAAATACAATGGTTCCTTTAATATTGAGGAATATCCTAAAATAGCAATGCTGTTCTATTTTATGGCTCATTAGTTACTGTATCCTGAATATTTTTTAATAATTTTTTGCACATTATATAGACAAGCCTAAATTACCAGAAAACTATACAGATGAGACATGGCAGAAGCTAAAAGAAGCGGTGGAAGCTATTCAGAATAGTACTTCAATTAAGTACAATCTAGAAGAACTCTACCAGGTATGTATTAGTTTGTAAAACCAGATTTAGCTACCATTAAGTCAAGACGGGATACATTTCTATTTTCCTTATTTAAAGATTTATTTATTTTGGTTTTTTGAAACAGGTTTCTCTGTATTGTTTTGGAGGCTGTCCTGGAACTCCCTCTGTAGATCAGGCTGGCCTCGAACTTACAGAGATCCACCTGCCTTTGCCTCGGCATGCACCACTAACCCCTGACTTTGTTTTTATTCTTAAGTGTGTGTTTGTGTGCATGAGCACACTTGTGCAAATGAGTGCAGGTGCCCTTGGAGGCCAGAGGCTTAGGGTGCTTCATGAGCTGGAATTAATAGGTGATTGTGAGCTGCCTGACATGGGTGCTAGGACTCAAACTTGGGTCATCAAAGAGTGCTCTTAACTGCTGATTCACTTCTTTAGTTCCTTGTGTTTTAACTTTCTGCTTTTTTGTCAAGGCAGGGTTTCTCTGTGAAACAGTCCTGGCTGTCCTGGAACTCACTCTGTAGACCAGTCTGGCCTCGAACTCACAAAGATCCACCTGCCTCTGCCTCTGGAGTGCTGGGATTACAGGCTTGTGTTACCACTGGGTAGCTTGTGTTTTACCTTTTTGAAATAGGTTCTTTAGTAGATTTTTGGTTCCATACTAGTTAATTGTTGCCTTCTATTTATGATCACAGCACATAGTCTTTTTTTTTTTTTTTTGGATTTTCGAGACAGGGTTTCTCTGTATCATTTTGGAGGCTGTCCCAGAACTCACTCTGTAGACCAGGCTGGCCTCGAACTCACAGAGATCCGCCTGCCTCTGCCTCCCAAGTGCTGGCATTAAAGGCGTGCGCCACCAACGCCCGGCCATAGCACATAGTCTTACTTAAACTGGGATACATAATTGGGCAGTTCTGATAAAAGGCTTATATTTTGATATAGTAGAGTAATGAGCTAGAGTGTGATGCTATAGCATAGATCCTAGGATATTTTTTCTGTGTGATGTCATTTTCGTTTAGGCTTTCTTGCTTAGTTCTTATACCCACCTGTAGGAAAGGCCTCAAGACATGCAACTCTTCACATTCTCACATCCTTTGTTCTGCCTTATTCTTTTTTAAAAAATGACATTTTCTGTGTGTGTGGGGGGCAAAGCATTGTGGAGGTCAGAGGACATTTTATGGGAGTCAGTTCTTTCCTTCCACCCTGCTGGTCCCAGAGATTGAATGCAAGTCATTAGGCTTGATGGTAAGTACCTTTACTTGCTGAGCAGCTATCTTGCCCCCCCTTCCTTAAAGAACTTCAGAAAAGTTTCTGTGTGTTTTGAGAGAGACTGTGTGTTCGTTCCCATCTAGTTCTCATCTGTGTCACATAACACATGTGGAAGTCAGGACAACATGCAGAAATTGATCTCTTCCACCATGTGTGTCCCAGGTATCAGACTCAGGTTGTCAGGTTTGGTAGCAAGAACCTTTACCTGATGAGACATCTTCTTGGCCCTGTCTGTTTTTTTTTCTGGTGACAAAGCTTCTCTATGTAGCTTTGGCTGTACTGGAATTCGCTCTGTAGACCAGGCTGGCCTCGAACTCACAGAGATCTGCCTGCCTCTGCCTCCTGAGTGCTGGGATTAAGTGTATGTGCTACCACTGCCTGGGAACTCATTCTTTTCTTTTCTTTCTTTCTCTTTCTTTCTTTCTTTCTTTCTTGTTTTTTTCTTTTTTGGTTTTTCAAGACAGGGTTTCTCTATGGATTTGGAGGCTATCCTTGAACTCTTTCTGTAGAGCAGGCTGGCCTCAAACTCACAGAGATCTGCCTGCCTCTGCCTCCCGGAGTGTTGGGATTAAAGGAGTCCTTTTTTGAGTTTGTTCCATCTCCCAGTTTACTCCAGAAGTGCGCAGCATCTGTAGCCTGAGGTTCATGTTTGTTTTTCCAGATTTGCCAAGATCGTTTTTTTTCCTCACTGTGGTTTTGACAAAACTAATTTAAGAAGCTGTTTTTCCTTACAGCATCAGCCATTTGGTATTTTTAAATACTTATATGATTACATAGACTCTTTAGAGTTTTTGTGTTTAGTAAACCTTGTAAGAAATTATGTTGGTTCTGTATGTCAGCATTTGTAGTTTTTTGTATTGTAGTTGTAGAGTATGTTTGATGATCAAACTCTGGATTAGGAGTTAGAGGACACATTTGGAATTTAATGTTGACTACCGCTTGTTAGTGTTCAGGCATCTGCACCAGCCTGTCCTTGGGGTTCTGACAGGATACATCCTCAGCTGCAGCCACTGAGAGCACCACCTGTGCACATTTTTGTTTCTCGAGACAGGGTTTCTCTGTGGCTTTGGAGGCTGTCCTGGAACTCTTGTAGATCAGGATGATAATGAACTCACAGAGATCCGCCTGCCTCTGCCTCCCAAGTGCTGGGATTAAAGGTGTGCACCACCATCTGGCACTACATTCCTTTTTAAACAGTCCCTGCCTGCCTCTCATTTCTCTCTTTCTTCCTCTCTTCCTTTCCCCTTCTCTTCCACCACAGGGACCTGTCTCTGCCCGCCTCTCTGCCCCTTCTCTCTCCTCTTCCAATAAACCTCCTATGTGAGTTCTGTTAATATGGTATGACTTCTCTTCATGGCAGTTTTTAATTTATTTTTTCAAGTCTGTAATCTTTAGTATATTTTTAATTTATTAATTTATGTTTTACATTCCAGTCCCAGTTCTCCCTCCTTCCTCTCCTGATCCCTGTACTTTCCCCCACCCCACCTCCCATCTGCTCCTTGGAGAGGGTAAGGCCTCTCTTAGCATGTCTAAGTCTGTCCCATCATCTTTCATAATGTTTTAAAATTACAACACTGTTGCCTTTGTAATCTTGGGCAAAACAGAAAACATCCTCAGCTTTAGTTTCCTCCTCTACAAAACAGGCAAACTACTACCCGCCTTTTCTTTCTCCCTGGGTCGATAATAATCAAATAAGATGTTTGCTAAACAAAACGATACCTTAATGAAGCACTCTGAAATATAAATTGAACTGATGTTAACAGTAGTTACATTTTTTACAAACCACAATATATCTTTTTAAAAATCTGTAATATGTTAAATTGAGATCATTGGTTTATGTTGCTGTGAAAATTAAATGAGTCAGTGCATACACAGTACAGAACAGATATCAGGTAGTGATGCTGTATGACTGTCAGCTGGTGGTAATACTAAGCTGTTATGTAAGGGTAAGTCAACCTCATTTGGCTTGTTTGGCATATAGATGTGCCTACTGAATTGTAAAATAACAAAAGTAGATTTAAGAAATTAGAATGAGAAAGGTCTTAAAGAGTCTGTGAGGTATTCATAATGTGTATGATAAACCTGCAAAGCAGATCCATTTTCTAGTAGTTCATTTAAAGCATTACTGGAAAAGTATTAGTTCTTATTCCCACTTTATCAACAAGGAGACTGATTCGCAGAATTTAAATAACCCACTCAAAGTCACTGACTGACTGAACAGGAAAAGTCAAACTAAGATGTTTGATTCTTAACTCCAGTAGACTTTTCACTACTGTGCTGCTTCACTAATAATCCCATAGCACCTTAAATACCCACTGTACAGCAGTGTTCAAAGCAGCTTGAGGAAAAAAACCATCAGAACAGCTGCTCTTTCCATTTGGGTGTGTTGGTGTACAGCCAGTGTAATTGCAGTAAGGTATTTGTATATTTCAGTTTCATAATGTATATTGGTTGTAGCTATTAATGAGCCCTGTTCACCTTAAATATTTTCCCTGAGTTTTTGATTTGACGATATCTCCTTTGGTATGTTAATTTTGTTGATTTCTTGTATGTTTAAAGAACATACAGAAGGGTTTTGTTTGTATTTTTGCTTTTCTTGTATTTAATTTTACTTGTTTTTTTTTTTTTTGGTTTGGTTTGGTTTGGTTTTTCGAGACCGGGTTTCTCTGTAGCTTTGAAGCCTGATCTGGAACTCCCTCTGTAGGCCATGCCGGCCTTGAACTCACAGAGATCCGCCTGCCTCTGCCTCTGCAGTGCTGGGATCACAGGCGTGCGCCACCACTGTGCAGCTTATTGTTCATTGTGTTTCTTTGTCCTAAAGTCATAAGTGCCTAGTTATAGTAGGACATGCCTGTGATCTCAGCACCTCAGAGGCTAAGGCAGGAGGATCTTGAGTTCAAGGAAGACTGGCTTATATAGGAAGACCTTGTCTCAAAACAAAAATTTTAAGTTCTTATTTTGTAAATGTTCCTTTGAGATAGTTGAAGTTTTTAGAAAAGAATAGATTTTTCCCATTGCATTTTTAGTAAGTACATAAAGTCTATATTTTTGCTTATCAATTAATTAATTTACTTATTTTTGAGGCAGGGTCCCTCTACATAGCCCTGGCTATCCTGGAACTCAACTCACTATGTAGAGTTAGCTGACTGGGATTAAAGGTGTATGCCATCACACCTGGCTTTTTAATTTTTTTTTGTTTTTGAGACAGGATCTCACTATAGATACCTGGCTGTCCTGGCACTCACTATGTAGACCAGGCTGGCCTCACTGAGATGTACCTTCCTCTGCTTCCCAAATGCTACGACAGTACTTTAAACGATAATTGTTCCTGAATTTTAAAATTCTCTTTCTTTCTTTCTTTCTTTCTTTCTTTCTTTCTTTCTTTCTTTCTTTCTTTCTTTCTTTCTTTCTTTCTTTCTTTCTTTCCTTTTGTTTGTTTCTTGAGACAGGGTTTCTCTGTGTAGCTTTGGAGCCTGTCCTGGGACTAGCTCTGTAGTCCATGCTGGCCTCAAACCCACTGAGATCTGCCTGCCTCTGCCCCTTGGCCCCTCGGCCCCTCTGCCTCTGCCTCACAAATGCTGGGATTAAGGGCATGCAACACCACCACCAGGCTAATTTACCTTTGCCTTTCATAACCATCTTAAAATACTTTGAGAGAGAAGCTGTGTTTCATATTTTGAATGGGATTTTTGTTTGTTTGATCTTGCTTGATTATAAATAGGAATGTGTTTAAATGCACTAATTTGGGTTGA